TACATTTTAGCTAATCTCATTGGTGGCAAATGCCATCGATAGAACATCTTGTACATATTTTCTTTATAGGCTGCTGATCTTGTTAATGTATAAATTTTGTTCCACATTCTTTCCCAATCTTCTAAATCTATATTATGTCCAATATTTTTTGCCCAAGCTATCATGCAACCTTTTACTACCTCCTCTTCTAATTCAACTTTTAATAGGTATACATTTTTGTTATAAACGTCTCTTCGGGGCCTATTAAAATTTTATCTAATTGTTGCCACTCTGTATAGATTCCAAATTCTTCTACAGCTTTTTTTACAATCTGTTTTGTCATTGTAAATATGGCCATCAGTCTGTGGTTATTCCTTGCTCTTTTAATTCCTGATTTGTTTTTAGTTTTCCCCGTTTATCTAATATTTCTTTGTATCTGACCATTTTTCCCAAATCCAATGTGCTTGGGTGTATCATCGCTTCCATGGTAGATAACCATGCAGGTATTTACATATAATGTTTTCACCTAATTTTGTTCCAAGTATGTATCAAAGAATCTCTCATATAGTGTTTATAAAAATGTTTTTTTGGTTTTCCCATAGAAAAGCATGCCACCCTCCCTGTAACTTTCTCTTTGTGGAGAAGGTGTTGCTTATTGGATTTGCCCAAAGTTAAGGATAAGTTATAACCTGGGATGAAGAGTTTTACATCTGTTAATTATTTGAAGAGAATACTTGCTTTCTTAATTTTTTTTCTCTCTCTCTTTTGTTTGTACTCATGCATTTTTTTTAATTTTTAATTTGTTTTTTTATTATTGTAAATGCAGCACTTAATAAAATTATTTTTAAAAGTACTCCAAATAGAGATCAAAGTCATGTTTTACTTAAATTAAGTTCCAAGCTATGTACTCTCTTAATGCAGACTTCTGAAATTGAGTAACTTCCAGATGTGCTAGGAATGTTGGCTGCAATGCTGGATGCAAATTCTGCAAATATTTTCCACACATCTGAAGATTACAAGTTCTGGAAATGACACTCGACTAGTTTCTATCAAGGTTACATTTAGGTTAGAAATGTTATGCACTACATTACGCTGATAAAAACTTTGGTTTGAAATCTGACATGTATTATTTATGAACAAATCTTTTAAGTAAATCTTCTGACTATTAAAATTTTTGCTATGGATACAAAAATTAATCAAAACAATACTGGAAAGACTCAACAGTTACAATTTACAAGCAAAAGCAGGCAATTTATTGCTCTCTTGAAAGTATAAATACAGTACATAAATCATTTCTGCACAATCATTCCAATTGTACGCTGCCCACAGTCACTTTTGGTGAAATAAGTTATACAAATTTTATTAATAAAATAAATAAATTTCTAAACCATCTTGAACTCAAATTGTCCTCTCATGTTACAGGCAAAACAGCTGTGTTGAATCAAGACAGACTACTTCAGTCAATTTGGGAGTTGGTTTGAACTCAAGATACACCCGAACTGAGAAAAACAACTGTTGCAATAGAGCTTGTTTGAATTAGAAATTATTTAAATTCAAGATACTTTATACAACACTACTTGAAATTATCTGTCTACACAGTTTTACCTTTTGTTACTCTGTCAAAATAAAGATACTAAACACTGATATTCCACTTTTCAGCATATACTTTGGCACAGCAGAGCATCAGTGTTGTATCTTCTTTGTTTTCAAGAGTCCTACTGTGGATGATGTAGAAATCTGTTTTGCCTTCTCACTAATGTGTATTTTTACTAGCAATGTCCATTATGGCAGTCATTTTGTGAACATACATACCTTCATTCATTGGAATTGTCCATCTAGGCCAGGGGTGTCAAACTCATGTCATCATGTCGGCGTCACGTGATGTATTGGGACTTTTTCCCCCTCCTCTAAACTGGATGTGGGCGTGGCTAGAGCATGATGCATCTGTCCCCTGGGCCAGGAGTTTGACAGCCCTGATCTAGGCTTTCATAAAACTTAGGCACACGGAATCTATTTTACCTCTAGATTGGGACCACAATTTTCATTGCAAAACTCATGGATCCATTCCTCCTAGGAGCCATTAGCCTTTATGAATGTTATACTGAATTTATTTTAAAACTGGAGTGTTTACTTCTGTTGCATTACCTAGTGTAGTATGGCTCCAGTAAAGTGGACACAAATGCTAATGTGCCAGCAGATAGCACATGTAGTGGCCTTAAAATTCCCTACGCTACCTTTTTATTTAAAAAGAATTAATCAGAAAGGTGGGGAGTTGGCAAGTTACAAAGCAAAATCTTTGTTTCTGAACCCCAAACAAATTTTATAAGCTTTCTTAGAAAATAAAATTGATGGGTAGCTTCCCTGTTTTGCTGAAAAAAGAAGGATCTGTTTTGTTTAGAGCTGAGAAAACCAAGCAGAGACAAGGCAATAACAGAGTGAGGCAGGGCTTGGCAGGGGGCCTTTAGTGAAGTGACTTTGAAAAGTACAGATTTTTGTCATGGGAATAGCAATTCTTTGATATGCTGAAAAAATGTGTATTTCCAAAACAATGAATAAACTGATATTAAACCTAACAAGTGAAAAGAAAAAAATGCTCCTGAGGAAATGTTAGGGTCTGCAGAGCATAAAAGGAACATAACACGAAGGGCAGGAAATTTTTGCATTAATTCTGGAGAGGTACTGGTGATTCCCCCCCCCCCCCCCCATTGGTACATAATTGCTAGGATTGATAGGAAAACACAGAAGTAAATCTACTGCCTTGAAACGTCCTGCAGTTAAAACTGTGAGATGTTGCTGAGGCACAATAAAGCTCAGCTCGAAGATGGCTTGTTTAAGACTCGATGATGTGTCCTCACACCAGTGCCTTCATATGAGGACCAGTCTGCTGCTAAAGCTGATCAAAGCGATCCCGAGGGAAACTAGTAGTTTCCATGAAAAATCAATTCAAGTTCTCCTTTGGATCACCCTCTGGATTCACAGGGAGGGGAGCGAAGGACCATCCCCTCCCATTTTGCCACTCTCTATGGTCATTTCTCTTGGCTGCTGCAGACAGCAGTGCCTTGTGGAAATCAAGTTGTTCTGTTCTCTTTTTGGTTCCACTGAATGCCAACATTGTGGAGAGTATTCCATGAAGTCAATGTTCTTACCAGCCACTTCCGGTGCATCTTGCAGGGGGAGGGGAGAATGGGGATGAAAGCAAGGGTGGGATTCTACAGGTTCACACCTATTCGCTAGAACCTGTTGATAACATTCTAAGCAGTTCGGAGAACCGGTTGTTAGAAGAAATTACTGGCCTAATCCTGTAAGGAAGGCAGGAAGGAAACATCCTGGTGTTGCTTACAGTAACTGCTTCTCCATTAACCCTTATTCCATTCTTGGCAGGACTAGACTTCCTGTCTCAGGAATTTCTCTGGAGTTTTTTTTCCCCTCCTTTGCTGGTACTTTGCTTGTGTGGAGTGACCATTCAAAGTTACAATGGCACTGAAAAAAGTGACTTATGACCATTTTTCACACCACGACTGTTGCAGCATCCCTACAGTCATGAGAGGCCAGGTGAGGAGAAGCTGGCCTCAATGTGAGTGATATTGAGTTGGCCACACCCAGCCAATAACATAACCACCAAGCCATGTCCACCCAGTCACATGACCACCAAGCCATGTTCACCACCTAAGCCATGCCCACAAAACCGGTTGTTATAAATTTTGAATCCCACCCCAGGATGAAAGCCCAATAAAGCGGTGTCACAGCTTTTCAACTCAAACGCTGCCCCTTTTCCATCTTGCGATCCTGCACATACAGTATGCAAAAGGGGCCATTCTTATAAAAGCAGCAGAGTCCTTCAGATGCCTCTGCCTGTCTTTCGCCAAGATCTCAGCCTTTACTTCCACCAGTGCTGAAGAGAACTGCTGCTGCCTCCCAGCGTCATGGGAGTGGCAGTGGTGATCCCAAGCAAGGGTGGGGGGGGGGAGCAACAGGGACTTTTCCTTTTCCTTTGCAGTTGCAACCCTACCCTCCTATGTGGGCACAATTTGGTTGGCCTCCTTTTTGAGACATAACAGAGGGATAGCTGTCATCCAGTGGAAGGCAGGAAAGCCCCAAGCCAAGGGTCTGCCCTTTGTTTCCAGCGCAGAGATTGCAGTCAGCACCTGAAAGGGGCTCTAGGATTCAGGCAAACGCCTCGGAGCTGTGCACGTAGATTAGAGCATAGATTCTATTCACTACTAGAATCTAATCAGAGATGCTTTGCCGATTCTAGTCCAATGACCTGCTCCAGCAGGGTTAGAAGGGAGTGTGTCATGTGTGTGCATGGCTGTCAAAACTCCAAAAACAGGTCAAGTATCTCTGGGGAGGCCAGTCATAAATTAGAACACTTGCTAAACAACCGGCCATTAAGTGAGGGCCACTTGTTTGCCAGTCACCTGGCCACGCCCACCCAGTCACATGACCACCAAACCACACCTATCTGGTCATGTGACCAGCAAGCCACGCCCAGCCAGCAAGCCACGCCAGCCAGTCAGGTGACCAGCAAGCCACACCCTCAAACTAGGCCACGCCCACAGAAATTTGAATCCCACCCCTGGGTGGGGGGCACCGAGGATGAGTTTGTAGCACCAAGGGGGCGGTGGACCGAAAAAAAATTGGGAACCACTGGCATAGAATAACAGTTGGAAGGGACCTTGGAGGTCTTCTAGTTGGTGATTTCCACAAGGCTCCTAGCCCCTTCAGATAAATGGTTGTCCAGTCTCTTTTTGAAAGCCCGCGGTGATTGGGATAAGCCTCCAGCGAAGCCTTGTCTCCCCGTCGCCGGCGGCATAAGCTTCAGGGCCTGAAGAGCCGAAAAGAGGACGCCGCGCCAAGAGCAGGACGTAGTTTGGGAGCGGGAGAAATCCTTGCCTGGCTCCTCGGGAAGAAGGGGGCGCGAGCTGGGTCGCCTCCGCTTTTTCTTTCTAGCTTGGGGATGTTTTCCTTTGGTGACCCGCTTGGCCGCTCCTCCTCCCGGCCGGCGCTCGCGGGCAGCTGTGCCGCCGCGCCTCAGTCCCGTGAAAGTCTCAGCTGCGCGCGGGGCCGCCGCTCCCGTGACGTTGCGGCTCCCGACTCGCCGCATCTTGCTGGCTGAGCCTCCGACCTCTCAAGCGCGCCCATCTGGCCGAGGCGGAAGGCGAACCCCTGGCCCGAGCCTTCTCGTCACCCGCGCGCTTTCGCTCCGAGCCGCGGCTCTGGACTTTTGGCCGAGGAGAGGCTTCCCTGAGGGACCGGAGGGAAGGACGCATGCCCGGAGTTTGCCGCGGAGGGCAGGCGCCTTGCCATGAGAAGAGCTTCCCTGCTCTCGAGAGGAAGCGAGGCGGCCCGGTGAATATGGTCAGTCATGTCGTGGCTGGCTTGCTGGCTGGATGAGCTCCAGCGCTTCTCGCTGCTCTCCTTGTTTACAGCCGCTTTGGCCGTCCTGAGCGTCTACCTGGTGCAATATGGCCTGAGCCTCCTGCGGCAAGGCGGTGGGAAGCCGCCGCCTCCCAGTCCATCGCGCCCGGGACTCCTGCCAGAGGACGAGGGGGGCTCCCTTTTCACCTGGCTGCTGTCCCTCAACAGCTGGAGGAGCGAATGGCACAAAGCTTGGATCGCAGCGCTGAACAAGGAAGCCGGATTGCGGGAGGTGAGGGAATGCCCAGCCCGGCCCCAGCGGGTCCAGCTCCTTTTTCTTTGAACGAGACGTCCGTGAGCTCCAGTTAACTTCGCTGCTTACTTTTAGCCAGGAGTTTTTCGCATCAGATATAACTAACCCACGGAGGGAAAGCTAGAAGACAAAGCTCAAGCAGTGCCTTAGTGATGATCGTGGTACTGGGGAGCTTCTACAGCTAAAAAAATTGTGTCTTGACTATGGCGTGAAAAGGTTTGCAGTGGCCAGTAGTGATTTGTCTTGTTATGCAATCCTGTTGTGTGTGGGAATGTGGCTTTAAAAAAATGTATCAACTGAACCTGCTTAGTAATGGTTCGATCCTAAACAGAAATTATCTTGAATTCAATGGGATGGGGGGTGGTGGTGTCTATTTTCAGGGGAAAAGGTGATAATCTCTTCTTCCCTAACCCTCAAAAGTACAAGTAGTCCTTGACTTGCAATAGTTCATTTAGTAACTGTTCAAAGTTACAACGGCACTGAAAAAAATGACTTATGACCGTTTTTCACTCTTATAACCATCACAGCCTCCCCATGGTCGCATGATCAAAATTCAGATGCTTGGCAATTAGCTCATATTTATGGTGGTTGCAGTAACCTGGGGGTCATGTGATCAGTTTTGGCAACCTTCTGACAAGCAAAGTCAATGGGGAAGCCAGACTTAACAACTGCAATGATTCATTTAATAACTGTTGCAAGAAAGATCATAAAATGGGGCAAAATTCACTCAATGTTTCAATTAGCAACATAAATGTTCGGCTCAATTGTGGTCATAACTCAAGTACTACCTTGGGTCATAGTCACATTACCAAAAAGATGTTGAGACTCTAGAAAAAGTGCAGAGAAGAGGAACCAGGATGATTAGGGGACTGGAGACTAAAACATATGAAGAATGGTTACAGGAACTGGGCTTGGCTAGTCTAGTGAAGAGAAGGACCAGGGGAGACATGATAGCAGTCTTCCAATATTTGAGGGGCTGCCACAGCAAGGAAGGGGTCAAGCTATTTTCTAAAGCGCCTGTAGGCCAGACAAGGAAAACTGGATGGAAACTGAACAAGTAGAGATTTAACCTGGAAATAAGGAGAAACTTTCTGACAGTGAGAACAATCAACCAATGGAACAGCCTGCCCTTAGAAGTTGTGGGAGCACCATCAGTTGAGACCTTCAAGAAGAGATTGGACTGCCATTTGTCAGAAATGGTGTAGGGTCTCCCACTTTGGGTGCGGGGTTGGACTAGATGACCTACAAGGTCCCTTCCAACTCTGATTATGTGTTATCTGTTATCATGGTGACTCCTTCCTAAATTTCTAGAAAGTAATAGTAAATAGGATAAAATCATTAATTTTCCCCTGCTTGTTCTTCAGGAATGACTGAGATAATTCATTTATCCTACTTAATGTGACGTTCCAGCCTGCTATTGTGTGTGTTCCAATAATAACTTTTAAAATGGAAAATTAAACAGTAATTTTGGGAAGAGGGTCAAAGAGTAGGAAACAAACTTACTGTAGAAAGTCTGATAGGAAATTAACAATACTTTGCCTGCGTACATCCGTTCCAGAAAGCAACTGCATCCTCTTCTTTTTAGCTCACTGCTTGGCAGGCAGTGTTTCTATTTCCTCACTCAAAACAATGTTATCATTGCAAAACTGCATTTTTTTTTGCTGCTTCACCACCATAACAAACAAGCCCTGGAATAAAGAGAACACAGTCCATCACAAAGCACATGCTACCGATGTTATGTTTTTTATTATTGTATTTGGCAATATAGATGACATCTGAGTTCTGTTCGCCACTAGATATTTAAATAAGGTGAACATGTTTGTTCCCTCTCTCATTCCAGCTGTTTTCAACTAAATTATTTCTTATATTTAAACACATTTGAAAATGTATAAAATAGAGAGTTTGCAGTCATAAATATATCAATTCATTTTATTTCAACCAAGGATTTTGTGATGAATAGTTATATTTACTATAGCATAATTTTACGTACAGTATACCACAGTCTGTGAAATTAGGCCTGACTGTATAATAAGATAATAGTTCTCTGTGCCTTCCTGCCTTTTGTCAAGAACACATTCAAAAACATGAATTAAATCATTTGGTTTGGCCTCATAAACTAGATACCAGAAAAGGTGAGTGGGCAGCCCATAAAGTTAATTAAGGATTGATAAATAAAAAAAAGATGAGCTGAACAGCTTTCTCTAATCTGACACTTTCCAGATTGGACCCAACTTCCATTATCCTTAGTCCACATATCCAACTATAGTGCTAGTGAAGCTAGAGCTAGATGGAAGGATAAGCAAATATACTGAATAAGTAAACTTGTATGTAGCAGCAGCTTCTGAACCAGTTTGATGTTTTGGACCTTAAACTATAGCCCTATATAATATTGTCCAATTGGAGGCCATAGTATGAAAATATGATAATGAGCAGAGCTTGCTCATGTACTCATTCTAAGATAATCAGTACTCATCATGGAACATGTACTGGATTCACATGTCACATTAAACCTCTGCAATTTGTTTCTGAACCAAGGCACTATAATATATAAACTCTGATTTATGGTTTAGTAAATGTATAGAGTTATTTTTACTGGTAGCTCTTGACTTACAACCATTCATTAGTGACCATTTAGGGGAAAAGTGATTTATGACCGTTTTTCACACAACAGTTGCAGCATTCACACAATCACTTAATCAAAGTTCGAGTGCTTGACAACTGGCATGTATTTATGACAGTTACACTGTCCCAGGGTCACGTGATCACAATTTGTAACCTTCCCATCTGGCTTCCAATAAGCAAAATCAAAGGCAGAAGGCAAGTTCACTTAATGACCACTGGATTCAGTTAGCAACTTCAGTGATTCACTTAACAACTGTGGCAAAAAGTCATAAAATGGGGCAAAACTCACTTAACAACTGCCTTGCATAACAACTGCAATTTTGGGCTCAGTTGTAGTCTTAAATCCTCAATTGTATTCAATGAAACATAATTAAATGATGGTTTAGTGCAGGGTTGTCAAACTCAAGGCCCGCGGTGTCAGCCTGAAAATAGCAAAGGACTGGCCTGTGGTGCCTCTGGCAGCTAAAATGCGGTACGGGGCCAGCAGGGTGCTGAAGGAGGCGTCCATCCACCCACCTACTCCGGCCGGCCTGCAAGAAAAAGTAAAATGCTGATCCAGCCCCTTGAAGAAATCCAGTTTGACACCCCTGGTTTAGTGCATTCTATGAAGCATTCAATGTTTAAATGGAGATGAAAAATTATTGCATTTATTCTAGGGGTTATGTTATATTTAATATATTTTATAGCATACAGTCACATCTCAAAGCAAATTAATCAGCCAGAAGTAGGATTTTTATAGGTCCATAGAGATTTTTATACTGTTAATTTGAATGCAAAATTGGTTATGGACATCCAGCAAACTGCAGAAAAAGTTTCTTAAGAGTACATGCAAATATATTTAAACCGGATTAATAAGTTGCAGTTAGTTACAATTCCTAGTTATTTATTCCCATGGAAGTTTGAAACCAAACAGATGTTTCTCCCACTTTACTTTGGTTCACATGATTTAATTCCTGCAGGTGTTATTGCTTTTTCATAATATTCCTTAATCTAATGCACCTACTACAGGTAACACAATAAAGAACTAAGAATGTACACTGAAAACTTATTTTTAAAACTCTGTGAATCAACACTGGTGATAAGAATGATTTGAATTCATTTAACTAAGCAGTAGCCTGGCAACATAGTACAGGTGGTTACCAGAGTCTCCCATAATTAAATGCATTAGTAAAACTTTGAAATAGCAGAAGTCTTGATTTATAATGAAGCAGCATTTAATTGAAGATTTAATTGAATATTGGGTTCTTAACTTTATTCCTCAGTATCACAGACTAGAATCTACATAATATGACATTCTTCTATATAAATTGTTGTACTTTGGCAAAAGCTCAAGCATCCTATTCAAGGGAAATTGAGGGCTTGCACAGAAAATGCATTGCCATGCATCTTGTTAATAAACATTATTTCAAGCACAACTTTCACTGGTTTTAGAGTTCTCCAATGTTTGCTGTTTCAATTTTTCAATTTCAGTAATTCAGTCTTTTTAATAGCTTTGTGTATGTCACTTTTTCTTCCTATCTTTTCCAGAACACCTGCTTATTTACATTTGATGAAGATGCAGCTCATCAGAATCAAGAGCTTGCAGTACAAGGAATTATAAATGTAGTAAAATCTGCTGAAGAAAACGTGAGCTTTTCTTTTCTTGACATTCCTTAATTTATAAGGTGGAGCCCTATGTATAAAACTGGTCAGCTGCTTATGTATTTCCTTACCATGAAGGCCAATGCATTCTCTCTCTCTCTCTCTTGTTAATGTCATGTACAGGAAAAGGGGAAAATATTTCAAACTGAGGTGGGCATGCCCTCAAAAATCTCACTTCAATTTATGTCATTTGTTGTTTGCTGTTCTGCACTGTTTGGTAAATACTATCTATGGATTGTTGTCTATGGTATATTAATCCTTACACAAAAAGTGTTTATTAGGAATTAATGCTTAGTTGTAAAGTATTAATAAGGGTAGATTCAGTGGATTGACATTTAGCTGTGCAGTAGAATAGTTATAGTGTATCAAAAAAAGAGTTGCATAGAATTGGCAAAATAATAAAATGGATACATTAAAAATCCTTTCTTTAGTAAATATACTAGTAATTTGATCACATGGCATAATCCAATCTAAACAAATTATATGATTTAACTGATGATACATGTTTGCAGATAATAATTTTCAGCTTACTATTTTTTCACACAAAAATGTAGGCCAAGAATACTGGAAGCATATTGGTTTACCAGTGTCCCATAACAAATTAGTCTTTCTGACATCAAAATCATGCTTATACTATAAAATGAAAGAATAGTTATGAATAAAAAGAATACAAGCGGCATTATGGAGTAAATACAGAAGTACAGTCTATTCCTATGTAAATAAGAGTAGGGCGAGATCAGTTGGCAAACAAACCTTTGCTTCTTTATGTGAAATGTTTTATTTTCCTTGGATTGTGGCACACCTTAAGCAAAGTTCATATTGCTTTGATTACATTATTAAATACATATTTTTTATCTAGAATGGGGCATGCATTTATGTCAATAATTGATTTTAAAAAATCGTCACAGACTAGAAATCAAAAGGTTAGTAATTATTGCTACATTTCATGCCCCTAGTGATATCCCCAGCTAGCTCTCTGTGAGTCCTTACAAATAAGCAAATATGTTAAAAATCATTTAAATGTGTTAACATATTTTTTTTCTTGATAATCAGAAACTTAGACTAAACATGAAATTAGGAATATAGGGCAGGATTTGATAATTAGGGAAGAATATGTAGACTTACTCTGGTTTGAAAATGACACTATGTTTGATTATTCAGCTTCTCATTTGACTTGTATTGACTGTTTTAAAAGAAGCATTAATTTCCAGAAAATATAAAAACTGACAAGTTCCTTAGTGCTTCTATTATAATCTTAGTGCTTCTATTATAATTATTCTAATCTATTAAAATTTTAGCATTGTTCCAAGGTTGGAAAAAAAATGTATTTCATGTATTCAGAAATAGTTAATTGTGCATTTGTTTACACCTTTAAAGTTTAATCTGAAACCTGTATTTCCTACTAGATATCATAATGTATTCAAACTTGCCCTTCCTCCCACATTCCATTTTCAGAATCATATAGGATAAGGTTTCAAGATCAAAGAAGCCTATATTCTTCCTCTCCCACCACTTTCCCTTTCTTTAGCATCCAGGTATCCCCAAACCTTGTTCAGTATTACTATACATGAAATTTTGATTTTTTGCAAATGGTTACTTGTGAATTTCAGTCCTGGAAAGACATGGCTTTGAAACTGGCAGCACAATCAACAGTCACTCCTTTGTCAACCATCAGTAGCTTTACTTAGCTTTCTATGGGAAGTAACAATATCTCTTCCACAAAGCTGATTCCTACTTGAGCAGCAACTGGCAGTAGCAGTCAATTATGTTGTGATTTAAATCACTTTCTAATAGCAGCAGAGTAACTCAAGTTTCTGATTAAAGTCTAAAAGGGCTATGAGGATAAAGATAAGCAAGAAAAACATTTATCTGGTTAGCGTTCAAAGGTATGTTTTTAAAGCACTTAGTCTGGTATGGGTTATATTCAGCCTCTAAATTTTCATAGTTATTTCTAGTTCTTTTCCCCACCTTGTTTTGGCAATCTTTTAAACCTCAATGTGTTTAAGTGTGTGGCTGTCTTTACCTCATAATACTCTTGTCCTAAGCTTAATAAGCTAGTTAATCAATTTATGCAGCTAAAATATGCTTTACTGCTTACATATTGCAAAATTATGGATTATTAGATGCTAATTCTTTTATGCAATCTACTGGTAGTCCAGATTTTTGAGCCGCTTACAAATTAAACTGATTTACACAACCTTATTGTCAGGATTCTGCCTTCATCAGTTGGAGGTGAATGTAGAGGAAGAAAGAAATTGACAGCATTAAGGGAGAAAAGTTTTCATGGTGATCCTGGTATTTAAGAAGAATTGTAGATTTTATTCCATTTAGGCTCCCATAAGTGCTGTACATCTTTCAGGTTTTACTTAATTATTAGGACCAAGGAACATTTGAAAGCTGCATATTTTGTTGTTGTTAGTTGCAAAGTCATGACCGACCCATCGCGACCCCATGGACAACGTTCCTCCAGGCCTTCCTGTCTTCTACCATCCCCCGGAGTCTATTTATGCTCATGCTTCAGTGACTCCATCCAGCCACCTCATTCTCTGTCGTCCCCTTCTTCTTTTACCCTCAATCGTTCCCAGCATTAGGTTCTTCTCCAGTGAGTCCTTCCTTCTCCTTAGGTGGCCAAAGTATTTGAGTTTCAATTTCAGCATCTGGCCTTCCAAAGAGCAGTCAGGGTTGATCTCCTCTAGGACTGACCGGTTTTGATCGCCTTGCAGTCCAGGGGATTTGCAGGAGTCTTCTCCAGCACCATAGTTCAAAGGCTTCAATTTTTTGGCGCTCAACCTTTCTTATGATCCAACTTTCACACATATTTTATATACATATTTATGCATATTTTATACTTACCTAAATAGGTTTCCAGCCTTCAAAAAAAGAAAAGAGAAAGTGTATATGTAATTTTTAGGTGAAGAGCAACCTAAAAGGGAATCTTGTAAGTAGAGCTTGTGAACTCCTGGTAGTTATTCACAAGCTCATCTATTTCGTTTTCTGTTCATCATACTGCATTTAAAATTGATTACTGTAAACTATTTTGGAAAGCTTTGTTAGCTACACTAATTGAAATGGGTTTTGTTTTCAATTTTGCCTTGGCAAACAAATAGTAATGGAATTTAAATTTGAAACATGGTAAGAACAAACAATATAATCAAATAAATGTTTAGTTTGTATGATAACCATAATATATACATTTCTATATACCTTACTGTATATATAGTAGAAAAACCTCTCTTAGTAGCCAATATGCATAGAAGTGTGCTGATTTCCCCTCCCCCCTTTTCTTCTTAAAAGTTGCTTACTCTACTTACTTGCGAAAGTTCAAACAAATGTTTGATTGCTTTGGTAATCCAACTACTAAATAGGAATTTGGTTCTAAAATCTATCAATACAGTATTAAAATACAAGTCTTCATGACCTTTATCTGAACAAAATAGTGCATCATAGGACAACAATTTTTGGACTAAGGTACCTCAACAGGTAACTTATACAGAATGCACCCCAAATCTAAAACCCATGACTCCTGAGGGAATGGAATTTGAGGAAATCATGGCTGCTTCAGTGCTACTGGCTGCTGCTGTGGTCATGTGATCATTTTCAGTATTCTGTGACTATTTCTCAGTCAATCTCACAATCCCTCCCTCCCTCAGGAAAGAGAAGGGAAGGAAGGGAGGGAGGAAAAGGAGGAGAGAACCTCACATACCCTTGCTGGCCCATGTACCCGTACAACTTCCCCAATCAGTGCCCTCTGCATGCTTGTCCCGACCCACACCGCACCTCTTGCGTATGCTCATGCACCCTCCCAGACCAGTGCTGCCTCCCATGCACTTTCCCAGCCCGTGCAGACTCTTATGCACTCATACTCACCCACCCAACCTGAATCCCTCCTGCGTGCCTTCCTGATTCATGTGGCATGCCTTCAGCCTCACATACTCTTCCTGATCCATGCTGCCCTCCCTGAGCACCATCCCCAAGCAGCATGGAACTTCTTGTGCACTCCCAAGCAATTCCACGCACCTTCCCAAATCCTGCTATCCCCACCAGCCCAGGACCTCTAACATATTCTACCATCCCTTTGGATTGTTCTTGATCCATGCCACCACCTGTATAACCTACCTCTTACACACATCAGTAACCTCCCCTTGACGTATGGGAAACCCCCCTATTAAACCAACACATACCTCTTGTGCATCCCAGGAACCCTTTCTGCACTATAATGCCCACCAGCAGAAAGTCGGAATCACTCCTACTCCCTATTTGTCCACTTGGCGTATTTCTGTTTCTCTGTTTAAGTAAGGAAATAACTCTGAAATATTGACTCAAGAGAGCAGGGGTTGTCTAGTTGGTATGAAATTAGCAAAGGACTGACTCTTTCATGGGTTACTTTCCTTTGTTAGACAAATTTGTGTCCAATCACACTTGGCCAATAAAGAATTCTATTAACAAACAGTAAATTATTTACAAAGTGCTACCTGAATAATAGTACAAATGTTTCTGTGTTAAAAACCAGACAGCCACACTGTCCATATTTGAAGCAAAAATGATACCAAATGGTTAATACATATCAGTAGACAAACTTGTTCTCAAAGAAGAAGATACCTTAAGACTGAGAAGCAGAAGTGCTGTATGAGATTACAGTGGTCTAATATTAACCCTTTCAAAGGTTGTGAGAAACAGGCTCCCAGATAAGCCTAAATATATATTTTGGTCAGAGAAAACTTAAAGTACCCGTAAGAAGAAGCAGATAAAAATGATAGGATTTTTCTGTGATTGCTTGATAGTCCTTTAATGCCTAAACCTTAAATTCATAAATAATAAGTAAAATATTTGCCCCTTTTAAGAGAAGAATAAACATACTGATCTGATAAATTTGGTACAAAACCAGATATCTCTGCACTGAATATAGGGTTCTGTAGTGTTGGAATGGGATGTGCAGACATTGGGTTGAGGAAAGGGCAGTGTAAGCTAAAATTTAGTCATATCTTTATCAAACATAATTAACAATTCCCTAACAGAGGAAATATCCATGTGGTAGAATTTATGGGGAAAGTTTTAGGAGGAGGAAGGTGAAAAAAACAACCTTCTTCCTTAATGTAGCAGTAATGCGATCATCTTCCTATCCAAGACCTAAACATGTAGACAGCCTAAATTTAAATAATTTAGATAAGGAATGTGAAAAATAATAGCCCCTTCCTCACCAGCCTGCCACTGAACTCCTCCACACACTACAGAAAAGTTTCTGTTTTAGACTATTTGGAGCCCAAGTGGGAAGATTTCCTTGGAAGGCTGGGAAGGCTTCAGTCCTGTTATGATGTTACTCAATCCTCTGTCAATATCACTCAAATGATATTGATCTTCTTGAGATACCAACATCCATGCAGTTATATGTGAATTGGCTTTCATATGAGACAGGATCCTGCTAATGCAACATTCTGATTTGTGTGGAACGAATATACTGTATGTACATACATACACATACAGCTGTAAAGGCAAGTACTTTATTTCTTCAGTTTATCATACTGGTGCAGCCATCTACAACATTTTTCTGAGAATGCTCTGGGTAACAAAGCTTGAAAAATGATCTTACAACATTTCATTACAGGTTCCTGCTTGTTCATTTTAGTTTGGTTGTAAAATAATAGCAATAGAATTACATCAATGAGCTTTGTTTCCCATGGACAAGATTATATACAAGCTTAATTCACCTAAGAGACAAGAAACAGCCTACTTTTCTGGACCAATGCAACTGCCAAGATATGAATTCTGAATTTCTGATGTCAAAAAATGGCAGTCACTTTAACATTCAAATAAATGCTCAGGATGCTTTCTCTATAAATACAAATGATGATAAAACTATATTTTATTTTTTTAGGTGGTTTCCTGTAATGTAATTGGAAATTCCTTCCATTTTCTTGTCAGTGTATGCCAAACTGCACCTCTTACTGGTGAATGTCAGTCTTACCATGTAAAACTATCTCCACTTCATTTGCAGGTAATGTTTTGAATGTAAATTAACACATCTTGCAGTAAGATAACTTACATATGTATTGGTTCATTTAATCATCTTGTACATTCTTGTAAGTCAAGGTACTAAATTCTAATGTTTACCCATCAGAAATTATGTCAGAAATGTAAATGCTAAGCACCTACTAATCAGTTGTCCTACAGAAATTATGCACTAGTTTGTAGCTTTCCCAGTCTGGGGCTTTGGGGAAAGAGATGCTAGGATCAAACTCTCAGAATTTTGTGTCACCAACCAAAGATAGCCCAGCTAGTATGATCAATTATGAAAATTGAGAACTAACTAATCCAGAAGGTGATTATAGTTCCCTGAATTGTGCATATACTAAATTGCATTTTTATTACAGAGAATGAACTTGCATAACTAGTCAATCTGCTGTTCTTCAAGAGTTTTTAACTTGCATAATTGTTTACTATTAGAATTGCTGGGAATTGAGGTCCAAAGTATTTGGAGAGTACATCAGATTTTCCATCTGAATTTATATTCACAACATAATTTAAAAATTTCAAAGAAGAAAGATTCTGTACCATAAATTGAACTGCAACTTATATAAAACTGCAACGGGCATCATGCTTAATTTTGCAAAATAAAAATAACAATTCTTAATAAATTGTCATTATCAACAGCTGAAACTTTCAACAAAATCCGAAGAAGACATCCAGATTAAGTGGTCTTTCATCTATTCCTCTGAAACAAATATGGAAGTCAAACCTACTAATGTGCAAAAAGTAAGTATATTGCTGTTTTCTTATATGTAACTGCAGCAGATCTAAATAAATAATATTTTACCCGTCCCATCTCTAAATCGCTAGCACCTTGATTCTACATTCCAAAGGAGTGGCTTCTAATAAATATAATTAGGAGCAAGGGATAAAGCTGCAGTTTCTGTTAACTAGTGTGGATGTAACAGCTTTTTTGAAAGGTTGACAATTACAGGCTGCTGTTTTTAAAAAAGCAAAAAAGTTTTACATAGTGTAAATTAAATATCAGCAGGTAATTTCAATCTTGGTGAACTGTGTGAATCGACACTTTTTAAAAAGTTATAAGGAACCCTCTAAAAATAATCAGCCAGTGTGTATTCTTTGGAGTTTGCTTAGTGTGCATTACTTATCTTCTGAGCTGACTTTTGAAAAACATCTGGATTAATTGAATGTAACTGACAATATTTACTCAAAGAATTCTTTAAAATTAGTGTCATGAAGCCAGTGAACCCATTCGTCTCTTTGCCCTAATGATCTCCATCAAACAATTTATTCTCTGTCGTCCTTGCAGCCACTTTTTACTTCCTCCAAAAGTGAGGCATGTCTGTCTCTCTGTCTGTCTAAATTAATATAATTTTAGCTAGATTGACAATTAAACTCACTCCAAGAATGTGCATAACTAGATAGAGAATGGGATGGATACAAATATTCCTGAAATACATGTGAAGTGTGAGCACCCAAGATCAAGGAATTCAGAATTCTTTCCCTGCAAACCACAAACTAGTATCTTGAAGGGGAATGTACAAATTGGACTTCTTATTTTCTGAATAAGAGCTACTGTTCCTTGAATATTTCAATGCTTCAAACACTTCAATTTGTTTTCACAATTATTATTTACATCTCCAGGTAATGGTTCCAGGCCTTGGTGACCATTCTGGAATGAAACATACAAAGGAAAGGAGAAGTACCATTGGGTGTAATCTAATCTACATATCATTCAACATCTCAATAACCTTCCCAATATTCAAATATAAACTAAATTCTCCTGGGTACCAAATTTGATGGCACTTGTAGAAGTCCCATGAAGCAATACTAGATATCCTTGATATCTCAATTGGACATCCAGTTGTGAGACCACTGCTGTACCACCATAAATGTTTCATTTATGTTTAGTGGGCTGTGTGACTTCTCTGTCCTGTTGTCATCCTATGCTAAATAAATAATAAGTGTTTAATCATTTGCAATTTGACTTTTTGCTGTCTGGCTATTATATTTGATGTATTGTCACTGAGCTGCATTGGCACTTTCCATTATGCCTGCTTATATGTTCCATATCATGGTTCTCATTTCTCCATTATGCACAAATTAAATACAATACATGAGGAGATCTCACCTGTATACATTTGTCTACATCCAGATGTATTATTTGTCTTAATCCAAGCTTATTCTTCTAGAATTGGAAGCAATGTAGAATTTGTACAACAGATGATGCTATAGTTTGAATCAATGTGCTAAGTAGCATGCTGAAAATAATATTGAAGATTTTTTCTTATATGCTTCTTCAAAGTTTTATAAGCAATGCCACCATTTTTCTCTTTATAGGATCAGACTCTTGGGATATGCACTGCATTAGAAACATTTAAAAGTGTGTTGCAGAATCTCATCAGTTGCACATCACCTGTTATGATTCTGAGTACAAGATCTACTGATATAAAAGGAATACAGGTATAATTTTATTTAAATTAATGGATTTGCTCATTGCTGCTTTGGCTCCTTTTTCAGACTTCCTGTTGAAAGATTTTCCTGATTTAATGCAT